AAGAAATTTGCTTTCTATCTTGCTAATAGGAACAGCATCACTGTACAATAGATGATATGCACTGGTATTAATGGCTTGTTTTCCGACATTTGGGTCATTAAATTTTATTAAAATTTTTACTACATTTCCATTCGAATTGGTTATAAAATGTACAACCTCCCATCGGGCACCATTAACAAGACCATCAGTAACATTATCATTGATAGTTAACATTACTTTAGCACCAACAGCTAGTCGAAGCTCATGGTGCAGATTACCAGTATCAGCTTTTTTCTTTGAAAGATTAGACTGCTCTGTTTGATTAGTTTGTGAATCCTTTGCTATTATGACATACTGGTCATCGTCACAGGCCAATGCATTTAACATGATCTCATTCCTTTTGTCCACACTTTCATTGCTTCTATACACAAGGAGTGCTTGTGTTGGACATCCAGGTGAATTTTTAGTAATTTCTCTACTTTTCAACACTTGTATGTCCTCACTAGTGCAACTCCCTGTTCTTTCTCGACAAAGAATTTCTACAAACTGTACATCACCCCTTTGACGCATGTCTTGAGTGAAAACTGAAGTGTGTTGAGTCTGATCACTGATCATTATTATCTATTGTTCTAGGTTCTAGGTTGACATACCTTTAACTTGGCCATGATCAAATGAGGAAGACCAGCCTACTGAAGAGGTATGTGTGCCTTCAGCTGAAGCTAAATATGTATTATTGATATATACATGTAAATTGTGGCTTGTACATGTACATGTACTCAGCATTATAGTGTAGCTAGCGAGCTAGCTACATGTGTAAATTTTATCCCTAGTATTATCACCTTCAATTCTTCCTTTGCAAATCTCCCTGTCACTCCAGCTCTCCTATTGTTCAATATTTATATGTATATAGTTTTATTCATCAATGTTAAACAGCACAAATTAATTTACTGTTTTATAACTTTGATTATTTATCACTCTTTCTGTTCTTTAATATTAGGCACAACTGAACAGAATGTACTGAGCCTGACCTGGTTTAGCTGGATGTTGAATGATTTCAGTATACTGTAAGATATTAGTAATGCTAGCTACCATCTTATTATTATTATAATGTGCAATTAATAGCTTCTACCTAAAGTTTTGTGCAACCACTTTTTTATTATCCATTTGTTCATAGTATTTTATACTAAGTATAATGCACACTGTCAATGTAGGTCATGCAGTTATCATTCATGATGATTTACCTTGTGGATTCTGGAGATTGGGAATAATTGAGGAGAAAATAAAGGGTCGAGATAAAGAAGTCACAGGAGTAGTTGTAAGGGTTGGTTCAGGATCTCAGTCATCCTCATTTTTGCGTCCACCAATTCAGCGGTTATACCCACTGGAAGTCAGATTGTCCGTGTCTAGTAATGCTACTCCCAGTTCTTGTAACAATCAGACCACTGAAGCTGAAGATGATACTGCAGTTTCAAACTGTACTAATGCATCACTTAACAACAATAATTGTGATCCCATAGAGGAACCAAATATTCGACCACATTGTAAGGCTGCTCTGAAGCCAGGGACAAGATAGCACCGAGACTCCTAGAATATACAACTTAAACATCATAGAGGTAAAATATTATTATCATTATCATTATTACTTTCATTTTTTCTTGATTTTGTTTCCTTCTCTTCTGCTTATTTAGTTGGTATTATTATTTTTGTTTTATTTATTACTTTGTTACTATTATTTATTTTATCAAAATAATATTAAGGGTGCAGTACTGGGGTAAATTGATTTGCATTTTTGCACTATCCTGAAAAGAAAAAATGTATTCAAAAATAGTGATATTATGAAGCAATACAGAAATGGACTTAATTCAGTTACAATGCCCTTCGCCGTTCATTTTAATCAGCACTTTGACTGTTGTACGCATGCCCAAACCATATAAAACCACACAGTCAGGTGTTAATCATTTCTCGTCTCAACTTGGCTGGTTTGCTTTCACTTTGAGTTATCACTATCCACCTGCTTGTAACTTAGCTTTCTCACTTTTTAGTCATTAGATTCTCTCTTGTAGTCACTCCTGGTGTCTGATTGCACAGTCTCTTCTTGATTTGGTAGCCACCTCACACAAGTTCAGTCTCCTCGAGCAAGGTTTGGTTCTTCCACTGTAGTTATTTGCCACAGTGAGTTATCTTCAGCCAAATGCCTTGCTACTTCAGTTTTCTGATGTTTAGTTTAACTTTTGCCAGCTACCTGAGCCAGTGACAGCCGGGTCAGCAACAAGTGTAAGGGAGGGACCCAGAGGTAAAGAGTCACGAATTAAACTGGTGTTCCCTCTCTGAACAGCTACAGACAGCCTCTGGAGTAAGTAGCTTGTGCTATTTTCCTCTCCCATGAGATGCCGAATCCTACGATCAAGGTGGTGAATAAGATGACGAGATCGAGGACCCAGCGCTCCGAGTGACTCAATAGCCAGAGGACAAAATAAGAGAGACTGGGGAAGGTTGGTATACTTGGACATCTTCCGTGATTCGGCAAAGGCGGCTACAGCTCCTGTGGCAGCAATGGCTTGGGATCTGTAGGAAACTGCCAGAGAATCAGGGACTGTTGCATCCCATAGCAGTGGTTTGCCGTTTTCCCATGGAATCAGGGTCATACCATCATGCCGTTTACCATCAGAACAAGAAAGGCCAGAAGGTTCAAGGGTAGATGAAATCCCTGCTGATGATAACGCCCTGTGCACAACCTCATTCACTGCGTCATGGCGATGGAAACTGCGGTTTCCCTTCTTACATGTGAGACCATGTAAGCCAAGGCTGTCAACAGAAGCCCCACACAACCGACAAGTGTGTGGAACACAAACTGACAAGCCCAGGCGAAGGGCCACTCCAATGTGAACGGTAGTGTCGTCTAACCGTAATCCAAGGGAAAAGACTGGGAGGGCTTGCAACCACGCTCCTGACTCGGGCTGAAACAGCACGCAGCCGAGCCCGGGTGAGGTCATCAGAAGCTGAGGACATAAGAAGATCCTGGGTAGCCTGTACCTGGGGTACATCCCAGGCTTTCTGGTGAATGATGGTGTCTGAGCATGGTAGGGAGAGAGAGTCAAACTTACTTATTCAAAGAGTTTGAGCTTCATCAATGAAAGGTAAGGAGCTGGGAAGAGAGACATCAGGGAGGATATTGGAAATCAGGTCATGAGATGCAGCAGCCAAAGACAAATTGCTAGAGGGTGCAAGCTGCACAGCAGACCGAATTCCCAAGCCGCCACTGCGGATAGGAAGGGAGGCCTGAGACCACAAAGGTGCCTCAATATCAATGGACACATTCAACAGGTCATTGAGGAGTGAACATAATACTGAGTCATACTCACCCACAGAAGGGGATAAGAAAGTAGGAGAAGAACGAAGGAGATAGGTGAGATGGGGTATGGCAAAGGAATGACGTAGCAAGATAATAGCATCATGGAGAGTAAAATGACAAAGACAGTCACCCATACGCTTTAGGGCTAGTGTTTTCTCTTCAACAGCAGCTAAGATAGAGTCATCAGAACCCAGAGGAGAACCTAGAAGAATAGCATAATTAGGAGATGTAATTATGACACCTGGCAAAACAGAGAGAGGCTGATTGGTGGAGATAGAGCAGCTAGAAATGATCTGTAACTTACTCAGATTGAGGTGGAGACCTACATCAGCAGCAGAATGAATAGATGAAATGTCATCACAAAGAGACCCTAATGGACCTCACAGAGTGACATCATCTAAGTACGCAATAGAAAAGTGGAATTTCAAGGGAAATAGGAACTGCTGAAGAGTGAGACAGAACAACAGAGGACCCAGAGGATTACCCTGTTGTACCCCCTCGGCAGAACACAAGATCTCATCTGACCAAAAAAGATGAGAGGACTCACTATAGGAGGAGTGGACCAAAGGAAAAATGGATGGGCACATGTCTCTCACTGCAGATAACATCCTGTCTCGCCTAACTGAATTGAAAGCTTTACTGAAATCCAGTTTGACCATAGCACAACCAGACTTGAGAGAATTCAGGAAAAACCGACCACCGTGGACTGCAGCTTCTATGCCTCCTTTGATCCCAAAACCCAACTGATGAGAGAAAAGTATATCCGAAGCATGGGCTTCAACTGAACGGCAAGCTATCTTGGCAACCAAGCGACAAAAGCATCCCCCTACTGCAATGGGTCTGACTCCGCCGCCCTGCTTGTTCAAAGCTATAAGGCGGGCTCCAAAAAACCAAGGGCAAACTGGGGGAGGGACTTTACCTTCCAAAACCAAGGACAAGAACGCGGCCAAAGAAGATACAAAGGGGGACAAACGGGAAATATCAGGGCAAGAGGATGATAACATGTCCTTTGGATGTTGAGGGCGGAGACCACCTGCAGAACCTGTCGGAAAATAACAAATTGCATTGACTACTTCAGCAATGCTGACTGGGATTGAAACCCCATCATCTGGGCAAGGAGGGGGGCTGAAATCTTGAAGGCGAGGAGGATGCTTAGACCTTAAGGCTTGAAGGGTTTTGGCTGATGGACTGGCCAGGGAGGTTTCAGAGGAAGCAATACGGATTGCTCCTCTGAAATCCCCTTCCTCCAAGCGGGCAGAAACTGCTAACCTCAGCTGATCTACCGAGGATGAGGGACTACCTCTCGGACGATGACCATATCCCTCAGGAGGCCCATCATCAGAATCAAGCTGCTGGTTTATCTGGGTGGCCAAAGACCACCTCTTACCACCTCTGCGCGGGGACAACAGGCATCTGGGAGCAAAGGACAGTAGTCTTTCCCAGGACTGTAGTGAATTAGTAGAGACTACCTGATGCAACAGTATTGATAACTTCAAAGTGGCCAGAGAGCGAGAAGCTTTGGGTATACAACGAATAATAGGAACACTATGAGACGAAAGGCTGAAAGGAGACCTCGAGGAAGCGCCATCAGTATCACGTGGTAGAGTGGTTGACTGCTGACTCAGGCTGGGGGAAACCCCAGGTGGCGCCACTGTTGACATAGAGGAACGAGAGCCAGGGCAGCGGTTATTTTGAGGCCCAATGAAGCCTCGATAGACCAGCTGCGGTGACTGAAAAATTCTTGGAACAGACAGTGCATTTAGCCCTGTCTTCCGCCATATATATTATTATTATTATTATCATTATTATCTGTATCATTATTAATATTCATTATTATTTTCATGCATGCGCATAACACACACGTTCTTTTGTTCCTTGTTCTAATTTCCTTTCTTCTTTTCTTCATCATCTCTCTCTTTAACGTTGTTAACATTTTTCATCTCACTCCTTATATTAAAATAACCTTTAAACAACCTAACTACTTGTTGTTAGTTTATTGTGTCTGGGCTTACTAGCCGCAACATTTGGTGACCCGCTCTTCTTCACAATACTTTCTAAAGACTTCTTCCCGTTGTCACATGTCTGTCATGTCTCGCAGTGACTCCTGTAATACTTCTCCTCATGCCCTAGCACCATCCACACCTTCATCTGGTGTCTCGGTTGTCATTAAAGTCTCTCCATTCTGCATTCTGCCCCACCAATCAGGAACTATTGTTCTGTCAGGTGGACGCGCAGCTTGCTACCAAATTTATTACCATACAGAAGACAAAGTTTGACCATGTTATTGCCTCCTTGTGTCCTGAGTTTGCATCTAAAGTCTGTGATTTGATTTTCAAACCCTGTCTATCACTTCCTGTAATGCTCTGAGATCACAGTTAATTAAGCGTACCACTGCTCTTAAACAGGAGCATCTTCTACGACTATTTAATACAGAAGGGATAGGCCATCGTACTCCAACTGAACTCCTCCACCATATGACTGAACTTCTAGGAGACAAAGCTGCTACTGCTGACCGCTCATTCTTACATGAACTCTTTCAGCGTTTACCATGAAGTGTACGTATGGTACTTGTTGCTGCTACTAAAGCGTCAGATGATTTGGACACCATTGCTGCTTTAGCTGCCAAGATTGGTAAAGTAGCCACACCTACCGTTA